GACTAAAGCTCAACTTTAGCTCGACCAAAATCCAACTTCAGTTCGACTAAAGCTCAACTTTAGCCTGACTAAAACTTAACTTTAGTTTAACTAAAGCCCAACTTTAGCTCGACTAAAGCTCAACTTCAGTTCGACTATAGCTCAACTTTAGCTCAACTAAAGCTCAACTTTAGCTCGACCAAAATCCAACTTCAGTTCGACTAAAGCTCAACTTTAGCCTGACTAAAACTTAACTTTAGTTTAACTAAAGCCCAACTTTAGCTCAACTAAAGCTCAACTTCAGTTCGACTATAGCTCAACTTTAGCTCGACTAAAACTCAACTTTAGCTCAGCTAAAAATGAACTTTATTTTGAATAAAAATTAACTTTATCTTAATGAAAACATATTTTTTCTGGATCTTTCTGGAAGATTGTTCCATCCGACTGTTTCCTCCAGGTCAGTCTGAACTCTCCTTTAACCTGCTGCTCCTTCAGCTTTTGCTTCAACTGAAAAACAAAAAGAAGAAAAACTTTGATCATTCTACGGTTCACGGTCCATCCTGACCAGTCTAGGAGAAGCAGATAAATAAATAAATAAATAAATAAATAAATAAATAAATAAATAAATGGAGAATTTCTGACTCCCATTTTTACTTTTTTTTCATTGAAATGTTTGTTTTCTTTTGAAATTGTTAGATTTGAGGTTTTTTTTAGTCTGTCTGCTTCCTGAGTCCTGCCCTCGACAAAACTGATGATAAAACATTTGTGATGTTTTGGATCGGAGGAAGAGGATATAAAGATTTATCATGTTTGGAAGAATATTTCTAAAACCTGCTGAAAGATGTTTTCCTGCACTGAGGGGTCGTTCAGATCCAGGGAGGAGTTTTTCACCAGCTTCACTTTCAGCACATGCTTCGAATCTGTGAAAAACAAAATCAGGTCTATCTTACACCTCATTTCATCTTTATTAAACATTACAATGTACAAAAAATCTCCACGCTTTCCAGCATTAATTATGATAAMCTGCCTGGGTAAATCAATGAATCCTTCCTGCCTCCAGTTTATCGAAATACTCATATTATTTGAATATTATTCCTATTTTTAATTCAGACTTAAAATGCTAACAGTTAGCAACAGGATGCTAACCTTCAGCTGAAGAACAAACTCAGATTCTGCACAAAGTAAAAGTCTCAATGAGCTGTTGCTCTGATATTCATTCAATAAAATGACTAAAACTGATTTTATTCGTGCAGCAGTGAAGAAGCATGTTGTGTACAGTGGATAGTTCAGCATGCTGCAGAGCTAAAGCCATGACAGCAGATCAATATWAAAACAGCAGAAATAACTTCAGCCTGATCATCTGATCAATAAAACTGTCTTTTCAGATGTTAAGAGTTTCCTGAGAGTTTAGATCAGACTGTGTGGAGATAAATGGCCTCCACAAATGAAACATCAGCTCACCGCTAAAACAAATAAATGGAATCTTTTTTTCACAGCCCCAGTCCTCCCATCTTCCAGACTTGGTAAAAGCTGCTGCAACACAGTTAGACGACAGGCTGTTGGGTTCTCCTGCTGCCCAGTAACTGACGGAGTTTTTACTTCCATCCACCCACTTCCAGGAATCCCTGAACAAACCAAACCAGGCTCTTTGGGTTGAAGGTATCAGCTGCATCATCTTCTGGTTCTCCGCCTGGTTCCTGATGCTGGCCAGGTCTGTGTGATGTTCTCTGCAGTAGCTCTGAGCGTCGGTCCAGTTCATGTCAGAGCYGACGTAGATAAAATTTACATTCTGTCCTGAAAACAGACCACAGCAACGTGTTGGAAAATCTGCTTCAGTATGAATCTGWAGAATATGAGATATTAACTCATGGCCACACCTTACCTAATGCATGACCACRAGATAATTTTGAGCTGTGTCTCTKTGAGAGATACAGGCACTGACAATCATATRACACCAAGCTATTATCTTGTAATTATCCACTGATTACTCTGTGACCACAGRTTATCTTGTGACCATGCATTGACCAACMCACGACAGCAAATTATTGTCTTGTGACCACACCCTGACTATCATGTGACAACAAGTTATAATGTTACTACGTCTAGACTATCTTGTGACCACACCCTACATTGTGACTACTAGCTGTGACCACACATTAATGATCTTGTGACCATGGGTTATTATCTTGTGACCAAGCCCTGACTATCTTGTGACCATGCACTATATTATGATCACAAGTTAATATCTTGTGAGCATACATTGACCAACATATGACCAAACGGTCTTATCTTGTGACCACAGGTTACTATATTTGTTCATAAACTAACTRCCATGAGAACACAAAGTTTTATCTTGTGACCATGTCCTGACTATCTTGTGACCACACCCTAACATCTTTTGACCAAAGTTGTTACCTTGTTGCCACTAAATGACTGTGATGACAAGGTATAATCTTGTRACCATATCTGGACTATCTTGTGACMACACAATTTCTTGTGACCATGCACTACCTTSTGACCACAAGTCAGTGTCTTTTGACCTTGCCCTGGCTATCTTGCGACCACAGGCTATTATATCTTGTGATCATGCACGGACTTTCCTGTGACCAAAAGTTATCTTGTGACCATGCATTGACCAATCTTTGACTGCAAGTTATTATCTTGTGACCATGCCCTGACTATATTGTGAACACAAATTATTTTGTGATCACACACTATCCAGTGAYCACAAGCTACTGTGTGGCCACACATTAACAATCTTGTGACCACACCCTGACTATCCTGTGACCACAAGTTATAATGTTGTGACCACACCTGGACCACAAGCTATTTTGTAGCCACACATTAATCATCTTGTGACCACAAGTTATTATCTTTGATCAGAAGTTGACTATTCTGGGACCACAAGGTTTTATCTTGTGACCAWGTCCTGACAATCGTGTCCACACCCTAACCATCTTTTGGCCACAGTTGTTACCTTGTYGCCACTAAATGACTGTGATGACAAGGTATAATCTTGTGACCATATTTGGACTATCTTGTGGCCACAAGTTACTATCTTGTGATCACACAATATCTTGTGACCATGCACTACCTTGTGACCACAAGTCATTGTCTTTTGGCCATGGCCTGGCTATCTTGAGACCACAGGCTATTATCTTGTGACCATGCATTGACTTTCCTGTGACCACAAGTTATCTTGTGACCATGCATTGATCAACCTATGACTGCAAGCTATTGTCTTGTGACCAAGCTCTCACTACCTTGTGACCACAAGTTATCTTGTGATCACGCACTAGTGACGACAAGCTACTCTTCTGTGGCCATACATTAACAATCTTGTGACCACACCCTGACTACAAGTTAAAATGTTGTGATCACATCTGGACCACAAGCTATTTTGTGGCCACACATTAATGCTCTTGTGACCACAAGTTATCTTTGATCATAAGTTGACTATCCTGGGACCACAAGGTTTTATCTTGTGACCATGTCTTGACTATCTTGTGACCACACCCTAACCATCWTTTGACCAAAGTTGKTACCTTGTTGCCACTCAATGACTGTGACCACAAGTTATAATCTTGTGTCCATAAGTTACAATTTTGTAACAGCTATCTCTATATCATATTTTGGTATTCCATTTCACCTGACAGGCWGTGTAGGCGTTAGTTTGGACCCCACCTGTGACTTCAGAGCAGATGGATTTTAACCTCGTATCAAAGGGGATATCGTTCCATCCTCCACTTGTATCCATACATGCACCAAAACCTGTCGTCCCATAGCCGTTTGGTTGACCTGTGGTCCAGTTTCTGAACTCTGTGTTGTTGTTGTAGAAATGGCTGTCAGACATGGACCACCTCCAGTCYGTCTTGTTGTCATACAGTCCGACCCAGACTCCCTGAAAAGAACCAAAGATCTGCATCAAACCCAGCTGCATGTTGAGGTTAGTGTGGACCAAGTCCACAAATAAATTTACAGGTTGATTTAAYTGTTCTTAACCCCTGGAGAGAGTCTGGACTCGTTCCTGCTCTGGAGTGGGTCAGGGTGAGGGGTGTCAGGTGGGTTAGGGACACCAAAATACCCYGGGTCCACCAAACAGAAACCAAAGGACAGAATGGGGACCATCAAACTGAAGGAGGGTTTTTGACTCAGAGACCCTGTTTGCAGTGCTCATGGTAAGGGAGAGGGTCTGGTTTGGGAACCTCAGGGTTCTGTTGGCGCCATGAGGTCGAGTGTTGAGGACATGAGGACAGCCTCAGCCCCTCCCAACAGACAAACGGAGACATACATCACCTCTATTCAAATCCTGTCTTCCTGTCGAAGCTTGTCAGCCTCAGGTGTCAGAGTTTCTTCATGCAGAGCAGAAAGCTGTTCTAATCCAGAGATTTGAGTCAGAATTTAAATCTGAGCAGCTCTGAGAAATGGAAATAAACCTTGTTTTTTTGTGCTAAACTGAACGTTTCATCTTTGTCTATAAAAGAATTTGTTTTAAAGTTTGTRAAAACTCTAAATGTGTCTGTTACAGTTTATTTATATTTGATGATAAAAGTCTACGTTGGTGCAGAAGTTCAGTCAGTTTAAGAGAACTGGGCTGAAAGAACAAATATAAAAGAATAAAATCTAGTTTCAGCTGAGAGTTAAAAACCTGCAACTGTTTCACAGCTGAGGAGCTGAAGCCCACACGATTAAAATCTACATTTTATAAAAGATAAAAACATGAAACTGTCAAAGTTTAAACGTTTATACTTCAAAGTGAAGCCACTTTAACTGTCATTTTTATAWTTCTCTGCAGTCTTTTCTTCATGCTTTGTGTTATAAAAGTTGTTTTATGAGCTGTTTTCAGTAAAGAAGCATTTTTAACTATTTCTTTATTCCAAAGGTTTTATTTTGAAAATATTTCCTGCAAATATGCAAATACTTTTGGAAATAGTTTATTTTGTTGAACAGTTATA